CCTTTTAGATTTTTACTTTGCAGTGCGTGCAAACGTGTTATCAGCTGCGATGCTGCGATCATCACAAATACGTACTGTTGCGTTACGCAATCGATTCGTGTGGTCTACGTACTGAATAAAGTAGTTCGTGAAAAGGAGAAAGAAATTAATTCGGAAATTTCTTTGTGTGAAATGTTTCTTGGAGCATAAATATTACTTTCCCTCTCTCTCTCCGGGATAAGAAACTCGCTTTAAAATTATAATTCTTAAGTATTTTAAATATGATGATGCATATATTAAGTTATTGTCGCACAATGCACATTGCATTAATTTATTTGTGTAATTGACCTGTGAATGAATACAATTATAGTTTATGAAGAGAAGGATAAGAAGGAATAATTTGAGAATCTTTTTTTTTATATCGGTTGTTTCTTGGAGTATATTTTAGTATAAGAAATTCGTTCCAAAAATAATTTTATATGATAATTTTGTATGATTGTTGCTTTACGATGCATGTTATATTTATATTACGGTTTTCGTGATTAATGGACAACGGAAGTTAAAAAAAATAGAAGGAAGAAAAAATAATTTAAAGATTCTTTCGTGTATCATCTAATTATTCTTTAAGTGTATCATTTAGAGATAATAAAAATCGTTTCTTACACTGAAAAAAAAATTATGTTATATCAACAGCATTATTTTAATTGAAAATAATTTTATTAATTCAATAATACTATAAATTAAAAAAATGCGTCATGTTTATGGTTTAATAAAATTTTATTTGTTTCATTAATACTGTTGTTAATTCAACAAGATTATTTTTAATTAAAATAGTGCTATTGATACATCTCTTGTTTTTCAGTGTAATTAATTCTGTATTTTATAATACTGCTTTATAAAATATGACTATGCAATTTTAATTAATTTTTTTCTGGATTGTTCGGAAATTTTGATTTAACTGGGCTATCGATCATCATTGATAAATCTTTGTGAGAAAAAAAACGAGGGGAAAAAAGAGAGATCGTGAAATTAGATGTTAGTCATTGCGATAAAAATGACATACATTTTAAACACGCAGTTAATGTGAATAAAAACTAATTGATCAATCTCTATCGTGATGATAGAAATCGTACGGTCTATATCTGAGGTAACTACGAATCCAAAGTAATGGGAACGAACGTGATGACGTCTCTGACCAGGAGGTCTGCATCGCAGCTGAATTATATATGTCGTCATCAGTCTACGACAAGGTATCGATCTCTTTGTAGGGTTTACATCGTGAAATCCCGAATAGCTTACTTCCATCCCTTAAAGTCCTGCGGAATGACAGCGTTTAATAATGAGCGCCATTTAATCCGGCCCAGAACTGTTAAGTTCTTGTCCAAAGCAAATGCCTGATAATAAGCTCTTTAGCCGTGGATTAATAAACATCTCACGTACTTCGTGAAGCTACAGCTTGTTACTTAACACGGAGAAAGTTTGACGGGCATATATGTCTGTACACGGATTACATCCCCGTCTCGTGCATTTTCTCGCGCTGTAGAAATTCTATGTGTTCTATAAAATTTCCCGTAATGTTTGCTAAGAATATTCTTTGAATTATTGACTGTACCCAAATAGAATATAAAATCATCAAAATGACGTCAAGGTGATTCCAAAATGTTTATTAGAAATCATTTTTCAATCAGGTACGATTTATTGTTATTTTGACATTATTGAGACTTGTTGTTCTGTTTAGGTATCTTTTTTTTTAATATTTTATTATTTCTGCTACAATTTGCAAGATATTGCTCATAATTAATATGAATCAATTTTTGAAAGGATCCCACACAAAACTTGACTATGGATTTTTAGATTTCGGTGAAATTGGCTTAAACTGTAGTATGTTTTAGTTTTTGATTAACTGATCAGAAGTTTTCTTAAGCAAAATCATCAAAGAGAGAGAGAGATGCAAACTGTAGCATCACTTAAAAGTTGCTATTTTGCATCTCATTAGCTAAAAAGTATCTTTATCTACTAATATTATCTTTTAGTAATTGCACCTTAATATTGTTATGCACAAAATAATGAGACGAGTTAATTGGTGTAAGAAAAACGCATAATTATTTTAAGAAAAAATTTGTAGTTCGCAAGTATGTATATTGCATAATTTTTTGAAAAATAACTATGTGTTTTCTTTACATCAATCAATTCATCTCATTATTCCATGTATGAAATAAATTAAATAAATTAAAGTACAGTTACACACAAAAAAATTAAATAGTTTAATAGATAAAGATACTTTTTAGTCCGATTAGACTCAACACATTCAAATGGTGTTACAATTAAATCTGTCTTTTTTTATATGATAAATATGTTTGCCTAAGTAAACTTAAATGTTTATGAGTGAGTAAAAAAACTATAATACATACATATTAGTTTAAACCAATTTCACTAAATCAACAAACCCGTGTGGGATCCTTTGCATTAAAAAAAAATTCAAATTTGGCATTGAAGCAAGTCTGACATTTCGCCTGAAATAGCTCACCGTTGTTTTCCTTGTACAAAAAGGAACGATTCAGATGAATGGAATTTTTAGCACATGTCCCTCATACGACCTGGTAATCGTGGGTGGTGGCATCGTCGGCTGCGCGACCGCTCGCGAGATGATTATGCGGCATCCGAATATGAAAATGGCCATCGTGGAAAAGGAGAATGCCCTAGCTATGCATCAAACGGGTCATAACAGTGGCGTGGTGCACGCTGGCATTTATTACACTCCTGGAAGCATGAAAGTAAATTTTGATAAATTTCTTGCATGCAGTTATTTTAATAGCTGGACCTGAGATAATATTGACAGAAGAAATTAAAAACTATTAATCTTTATTGTCACATAATACGAGTAGATCGTCTCCCTTCTATTATCATTACAAGAAATAATATATTTCATATTCAACCTCTATGAATAAAAACAATTTTAATTAACTTGTGTAAAACAGAAAATTAATCAAATACTGATTATCCTCGCAATATTCTCAGAAAAATGTTAAAACATTCATGATTTGACATTATAGGCAAAACTTTGCGTGGAAGGCTTGAAAATGTCGTACGAGTACTTCTGCAAGAACAACATACCTCATAAGAAAATTGGCAAGCTGATTGTCGCCCAGAATCCAGCTGAAGTCAAGAGAATAGACGATCTCTTCATTAGAGGAACGAACAACAACGTGCCCGATTTACAAATTGTTGAGAAAGATTGCATTTCAAAATACGAACCCAAATGCAAGGTATATATAATGCAAAAATAATAAATGTTAAATATAAAATATAAATATAAAAATTGCATAAAAAATTGCATTAAAAAGATAATGTAATGTTAATGTCTTATTGTTATAAATTTACTTCCAAGTAAGTTTTAATCACACATGTATACATTCTTTCAAATACATATAAAAATAAAGCTTTTTTTTTTAAATAGAAATTTAACTCATCCTTGTATTTATCTTTTATATTTTAATTTTATTTTTAGTATGTTAAATAATAAAGAATTTATAACTGTATAAAAAGAATATAGTTTTAGGACACCATAAATAATGTATAAAATGAATAATCGAATTTTCTCGTTTCTTAGGGAGAAAAGGCTTTATGGTCACCGTGGACCGGTATAGTGGATTGGGCGGTCGTGTGTAAATCTTTTGCCGAAGACTTTCAGAAAATGGGAGGCGAGATCTTTCTCAATTTTGAAGTAATCGGATTTGCGGAAATGGCGGGGAAAGAAAAGAATCAATTATCTCCCATATCTGTTCAATCGAAAAACCGAGTAAGATTTTCTTTCGTAAGCCTTATCTTATTGCACTTATTGTCACATTAATAATCTAATATTCTGGCAATTTTTCTTTGAAGTGCATACCAACAAAATATGTGCTGACATGCGCTGGTCTACATTCAGATCGATTAGCGGTGATGACAGGCTGCGATGTAAATCCGCGAATAGTACCATTTCGTGGCGAGTATCTTCTGTTAAACGATGACAAACGACATCTCTGCACGACTAATGTGTATCCGGTGCCCGATCCCAGATTCCCGTTCCTGGGCGTGCACTTTACACCCAGAGTTACCGGTGAAATCTGGTTGGGTCCCAACGCTGTTCTTGCGTTAGCTAGAGAAGGCTATAGGTATTATTATATAACAATATTATATTTATACGATTTACGAGATTGAATAATATTCTTTACAAGTATCTCGCAAGGAATCTAAATATTATTATCTATATCCCCATTATTTAGATTTATACTATTATAATAACATTATTATTCTCTTTCTATTATAATACATTATTATTCTCTTTCAGTTGGTTTGACATAAATATAAAAGACTGCATAGAGATGGCAAAATTCCCTGGTTTATACAAACTATGCTTTCGGTATTTCGTACCAGGCTGCAAGGAAGTAATAAAATCGATTTTCTATCCCTTAGCTGTGAAGGATCTCCAGAAGTTTATTCCCGAAGTTACATACAAAGATGTAAAAAAGTCAGTATTTTATGCACTATATTCATTTATAACTATATCGTAAAATTTTCTCTCATTACCGTTAACAGAGGACCGGCGGGTGTAAGAGCACAAGCAATGGATAAAGACGGTAAATTAGTCGACGACTTCGTTTTCGACGAAGGCACCGGCGTGATCGGAAGCAGGGTGTTGCACTGCCGAAACGCGCCGTCACCAGCTGCAACTAGTAGTATGGCGATTGCAAAATTTATCGCCGATAAACTTGATCGCGACTTCAAATTATAATGCAAATCGATACATGTAATTATCTAATCGCTCAAATGTAAAATGTGAAACAGAATGAGTATTTAAAAAGAAGGTTCCCAAAGAAAATATAAATATTTTCTATGTGTCACATAATTTTTGTATTTGTAAGCAATTTATTATCTCAAAAAATATATATATTTGTATATTATATATCGATTTATATATAATAATATATATGAATTGTTATAGTAATAAATATTTAAAAAATAATTTATAATGAGATAACAGCAAAAAGGATCATTAGGTACATTTTATATATAGAACCTTTTAGCATTAATTAAAGTGCCTTAAAAAATGTGCTGCTACAAGTACTGACGAATATATCTGACATTAATATCTGTAATGAGTTCATGCTGTCTAAAAGCTGTAATTCATAAAATTTTGTACAAATTAATTAATAAATTACTTTCTATGGGGATATAATACATAAAAATCTCAGAAAATGTATAATAATATACAATAAAAGTATAAATTGAAGTATATGTAACAGTTATCACATACGTACAGATAAAAAACTGTAATTAAAAAAGTTTTAGATAATTCTAAGTTTGTTTCCTGATATCATAAGACGTGTGGTAGCAAAGTCCAATGCAGCAGTTAGATGGTATCCCATGTTTGAAAGCACAACTCCGTATTCGCTTAAAGCGAACATTGAATACACTGAAATTATATAGCAACTCTCTAAAATTCTAAGATAACAAGAACTACATTGCTATACATAACAATAAAAATATCAGTTAATATCTCACCGAAGGGTTCGCAATATTTATTATGTCTATAAAAGAAGTAGCATGCTATTACTATACACATCACATTCAGCATCATTGATCTCCGTTTCCACTTTAAGGAAGCATCGTTCGAGCCTTTTGCAATATTCAGGCAATTTTTTATAATATAATACGCTACGAACATGTATATAAATGACGTTATCAAAAAAGTTATGAAAGATATCTTATGGAACGCTGTAAAAAAAACAACACAGCGCATTAATTGTACTATATTATATGCTACACTTAATATTCATATGCATAATTATATAAATTCTTAGAACGCATGCAGGTCATACCATAATTCTCATTGGAAGTCCAAAAGCTCAGTGTCACTAGAGAAGTATTTTCAATGGCGTACATAACGAGCGCGATATTACTTAAATATTCTGCCCACTTATAAACATGCTCCTTGTAGTAACGATAATATAATGTAAATACTAAGGTTCTTAATAACGCTTGCAATGCTATAGCAGTCTTCCATACATCTTTCTGAGGTCTGTAGTGACCTATGGCTGCTGAGACAGATGGTAAAAAATTGTACACCTAGAAATTACAAGAAGAAAAAGAGATTACTTTTCATGAGGTTTGTATAACTTATATATCCATTTTTATTAATGTAAATTGATTTTAATCTTGTTTAATTTACTCTTTATTGTTTTATAATTCTAGAACTAGAAAAAGTACATTAAATTAAGATTAATTTATTGTAAAAGCAGACAAGAATCTGTTTATTACTGTTTATTAC